TTTTTACCTAGGGGATGAGTACTTAAGGGGGTTAGATTTTGATAAGTTCTTTAGTGGGAATGACACTGATGAAGACTGCACATTGTAGTCGAAATACGTATCTGCCATGGATACAAAAATTAATTAAGTGGAATTAAATGGAAGATAAACCCTTTTGCTGTTTTATTTATTTAATAAATTGCACTTTTCGTGTACATGTCCATAGAATCGATTACAGTAGGTATAACAGACATCAGAGTACGGAAAATGCATGTTTTTTCCCAATTTATCCATGCTTGGATGTGACTCAAACTCAACAATTAGATTTTTTCTTCGTAACTTAAATACTTGGTTTCTTTCGAGAACAAATAGGTGGGCCCTTTTGTACTAAATAGTCACCCATGAAATATATTTCATGTGTAATTGTCGAGCGCACTTGAAGTGCAGTAGTGCGTATCAATTAAACGTCAAAAATTGCATAGTTTCATTTTAATTGTTGTAGCAGCGGGAAGGAATCATTTTCGTCCTTCACTGTGACATCATAAGTATCATCGGAAGAAATTCAGCTGTTCTTCGCGTTTTGTTTCGAAAACGAAACCAAGTGGTTGGATTCTACGTTTCACGATAGTTATGAATATGTATATCGCAAAATTCCTATCATCTGTAAGTTAATCAAAAAAGATTAATACAAAAATGTTGAAATTCTTAGCAAATCTTATATTTTATAGGGAAATTTGGGTTAATCAGACATTTACTATACTCGGTTGGGATTAATACCTACTGCAATCGATTCCATGGACATTTTATTGTATATTGAGCTGAAGTTCATCAATCATATCCTTTTCAAATCATGAAATGGATCAAATTAACAGGCTGCAGTGCTAAGTATAAGGAAATTGTGGCATAGCGGGACTTAACAGCACCACATATGAATACTATTGACGGCAATCGATTCCTTGGAAATGTTTACATAAGATTAGCGTAAATTTGATGAGTGTGTGTGGTTTAGTTATGAAAAATTATGGAAACTGTTTGATTATATACACAGATCATACGGAAATTGTGGTAAAACGGGAATTTTCTGTACTCTGGCGTCTACGAGACTTAGCGCAATCGATTTGCTGAAATGTTTTACATAAGAAAAGTGTTCTTCTATTGGTTGGGACCGTTTGCGTTTTGAGAAAATCAATTAAGGGTATCAATTGCCATTTTTTTTCCAACTGTGCGTTATGTTGAGTTGTGATCGGAGTTGTACGGAAACGATTATAAATAATTTAAACACACCGGTTGCTTGACCGTCCGCCATGGTGGAGGTATACGAGACAATTTTTATTGTTTTGTATGAGGATAAATGTACATATATATGACGTAACACAAAAAAATAATTTCAAACATGTATACAATTCAAAGTGTTTTTATGTTACTTCATACGCGAAGTTAACGATTTTCAGAGTTGGTTGGAAATGCTAACATGAAGCTTTAGTGTGATGATTTATTAGCTAGAGAATGATCTTTAGAAGAGGGTAGGTGGATAGTTCCGTTAGAGTACGGCAGTATGAAAATTGAATAGAAGTTGAAAATGAGCGAAGGGCCGTTAATGCGACAGTTTTTGAAGATAGACGCACATTTTTTCCTAACCCGTACGATGTACGCGGGGACTTGAAGTATGTCTCCTGTGGACTTGTGTATGCCTGTGGGCAACTCACCCAAAACTCATCGGGAAATCTGAATTAAGTACTTTCCGTACTTACCTGCTTTTCCACTCCGACCATCCGACGTTTTTTGTCATACGTTAATCTTTCGTTTTTTAAATCGTTCATTTTATCCCAATAAATCTAATCTAATAGCCTGTTAAATCACTCTCCTAATAAAGTATCCTGAGCAAAAACTTCCAAATAACAAATGAAATCAAAATTTTAATTTACTATATTCTCATCATGTACAGAGGTTACTCAAAATAACTAGGATAGGCAAATTTTTGGTCAACTTTGGAGTGTTGTAACTTCGTCAAATATGATCCTTTTTTAAATCTTCCAAGAGAATTTGACTGGAAAACTAATACCAATTTACGGTGTAACCACGAAAATAATCCTGGTCACCGGATCCCGGAGATATTCCGGGTTTCCGGAGGGCTTCCGCCCAAAACATGGTCATAATCTTTCCTTTCATGGCAATGATTGGTCCAACTGAGTGCCATGATATGGCACCCCATACCATAACTGAGCCTACTCCATGCTTTACAATCACTAGCGAGCACAAAAGTGCTGGCGAACATCTCCAGAGCTGACGTCGACAGTCATTTTGTTCATTAAAGAGTTGTTGTGTAGCAAGAGCACATTAATACAATAGAGAGACTTTTATTGGTCTACAACCACAGTTTAAAGAAATTTTCCTTTTACATGTTATCCTGGGGCATCTGCTGAATCACCTCCCCAATGGCTTTGTTTTGTGCAAAAATGTGATTGAAGCCTACTACAGGTTCTACCTCCCCCCCCCCCCCCCCCGGGGGATTCCAGAGACTCCGGAAAGGCCAATGTTGTCAATGTTTCACTTTAAATCTATAGAAAGGATATTCATAAAAATCCACGAAGAAAGAGCTGTCGCACGGCACGTTTTTAAGTAAAAACGCAATTGTCCTCTACTACAGGTTCTCCCGGGTGCATCCCAGTGGTTCTGAGAGCGGCCAATGTGGTCAATTATTGACTTTAAGTCTATAGAAAGAATAGTCATAAAAATCCATGAAGAAATAGCTGTCGTACAGCATGCTTTTGAGTAAAAACGCAGTTGTCCCCTGCTACAGGTTCCCCCGGGGGTATCCAGTGGTTCCAAGCGCGGCCAATGCGGTCAATGATTCACTTTAAGTCTATGGAAAGCATATTGATGAAAATCCATAAAGAAAAAGCTGTCGCACCACATGTATTGGTTTAAAAACGCAATTGACCCCTGCTACAGGATCCCCCGGAGGTATCCCGTGATTCCAAGAGCGGCCAATGCGGTCAATGATTCATTTGAAGTTTATGGAAAGCCTATTCATGAAAAACCATGAAGAATGAGCTGTCACACGGCATGTTTTGGTGTAAAAACCGCAATTGTCCCCTGCTCCAGGTTGCCCCGGGGCATACCGGAAGTTCCGAGAGTGGCCAGTGTGGTCAATAATGCATTTAAAGTTTATCGAAAGTCTATTAACGAGAAACATGAAGAAAGAGCTGTCGCACGGCATGTTTTGAGTGATTAAGTGTGAGCCCGCATTCAGAACCCTCCACCAGAACCGATTCCAGGGAAATGGCCATATATCGGTTGAGTATAGGCCGATTTTAGTTGTTGGCATATGATTCGCTTTAAAATTGTTTTTCTTTCTTTGTAATTACTAAAAATATATATTTTTAACCAGCATCATATATAAAATCTCATCAAAAATTTAGCAAGTTAGACAAGATCTCAGGAAACGCAGAAAATCTCCGGTATCCGGTGACCAGGATTATTTTCGTGGCTACACCGTAAATTAATATTAGTTTTCCAGTCAAATGCTCTTGAAGTTACAACACTCCAAAGTTGACCAAAAATTTTCCTATCCTAGTTATTTTGAGTAACCCCTGTATGTATGTTACACTCACAACCTTTACGGCGTACGTACTACACGCCGTTATTTCTAAATGATCATCACACTAAATTACTATTATAAGTAAAATGTCATAACAAGATAGCTTATGTAACGTAATATTAAAATTAGACTAAACTTGGCGTTAACCAGCACCAACTTTCCTATGATCCGTTATATTTTGAAAAATGAATCGATTCAAAAGATCGATTCAAAAGATCGATTCAAAATGATTGATTAAATCGGTAAATCGATTGTTTTCAAAAAAAAAAAAAATGTATCGATTCACTAAGATCTATTCTTGCTTCAAGATCACCCAATGCTAGTTTGGACTCCAAAGAGCACTGTGCACGATGGTCCTCCGGCGAGACAAAAGAGTTGGTGTAGGCCCTAAAAGCCCCGAAAACATCAGTACAGTAACAGATACGGAAGGGAAAAATCGACAGGCAACTAAAACGGACTAATGAATGTAAACTCATGGCATCATGTCTCACATTTTTGGAGTTTAAATTTTGGTTGATATAGAGGACCCACTAATGTCATATCTGACTGACACTCTGATATGGATCACATCTTTCAGTGTGACCAGCAACATCAATTGATTGATGCGTCTTCATTGGTTTGATTTTTGACAAGGAATATTTTCTCGCTCTAAAACTGATAAGCGTTACCCACATAACTGTCAAGAAAGTTTTCTTCCTCAGACTGGAGCACTGCGGAATCCAAATCTATCAATTTATCACAATCAACTAAACTGTCATCCTGCAAATCAAACTGAATACTCACTCCTCCCCAGGATGAGAGGAATAACATTTACGAGTTCAATTAGTCGCTTGGTCATGCTGGACACAATGACACAGTGGTCGAATGTCAGTAGACTTCTTACCACTGCCGACCGGTCAGAAGTGTATATTCTTGGAACGAATTTTAGCTGAAATTATAACCCTGTGTCTCAACCCAAAGCATCATATATTCATGATCTATATGCTTATGAATAATTGATGAGCTATGTCTCCTTGTCTGCACCATGACCCACTAAGTCCCTCGATGACCAACACACAATCCAAGGAAGAAAACGCCTCCCTCCCGGGTGTCCGATAAAGGATTGAGCTCTAAGGACATTTCCCTATACGAGAATACGTACATGAATGGATTATTAATCGCATCTGTTAGCTTCTCAACAGACACCACACATCGTCTCCAAAGACGACGTTGTCAGTTAGCTCCATGTATAGGCTCGACGATGATGACGGTAATGAAGATGTAAACGTGTAATAAAGAGAGACGATCAATCAAATTCCTCGAGTTTTCTCATATTCTCCATCTCACCTACACTATGCGATTGTGTTAAGCCGTATGATGGCATGTTAAAGGTTATCTATACAACAACGGTGCGTAATGATTTATCTCTGCTTTGTTTCAGTGGACGAAGGATGACTTTGGTCTGGGAACCCACCGGAATCTGAGCGGATTCGAGCGGTACTCGATGGTTGGAAGTGACGAGGAAGGAGATTTTTCCTTGGATATTTTTCCAGTTATGCTTGACGATGATGCTAAATACCAGTGTCAGGTTGGTCCAGGAAAATCAGGTAAGATGAAATGGCATTTGCAGAGATTGAGTAGCGTAGCTGTACGATGGACTCCGTTTTTTTATTCTATGCAGGTAATAATGCGCCTGGAATCCGATCTCGTTTTGCAACGCTGATGGTGCTTGTTCCTCCGGAAAAACCCAATATTGTACAGGGAGACTTTATGGTTACAACAGAAGACCGGGAAATTGAACTTGAATGTGTTTCCGTTGGAGGAAGACCAGCTGCCGAGGTATGCTATCCAATCCATTGCAAGCAATTAATTTTCATATCACTCTTGTTCTATAAATTTCTACATGATCAAATGGAGTTCATATTATGTTGCATAATCTACCATTGGAATTCTAACGAACGAATCCTGCTTCCACCACTTACAGATAACATGGATCGATGGCCTGGGGAACGTTTTAACGAAGGGAATTGAGTACATGAAAGAAGCACTACCAGATGCACGGCGTTTCACGGCCAAATCCATTTTGAAACTCACGCCGAAGAAGGAACACCACGATACCACCTTCACGTGCCAGGCACAGAACACCGCAGACCGAACGTACCGATCGGCAAAGTTAAAACTGGAGGTTAAGTATGCTCCGAAAGTAAGCATTAAGGTAATTAGCGGCGACAGGATTGTGGCTGGGACTGACGTTCGCTTTCGATGTCATGCCGATGCCAATCCTCCAGAGGTAACGTACAAATGGTACATCGGTCACGAAATGGTGAATGACAACTTTTCCACTGAGCTGGTATGTGTTTTCCGAATGCAATGATAAGGCACTTTAATTAAAATTCCAAATATCCTCTCACAGGTAATATCCAACATTTCCAAAAAGTTCCACGATGTCATTGTGGAATGTGAAGCACGAAATGTAGTAGGCAAAAGTGAAGAAAGCGAAACTTTGAACGTAAGCTATGGACCCACCTTTCGCAGCTTGCCAAAATCCGTCGATGCTGACCTAAATATGGTAGTGACTTTATCCTGCGATATTGATAGTAATCCCGTGGCGGATATTGTATGGGTCCATGATGAATCCGGTCGTGTTATGTCCACATCGGCCAACCTGACTATAGTGGTAACTCACGCAACTGCGGGACGATACCTTTGCAAAGCTTCGGTTCTTGGATTTCCAGAGATAGAATCGGAAGCTACCGTCTATCTCAAGGGACCACCTAGCATCATCTCACCACGGCAGCAGTTTGGAACTATTACCGACACAGGTCGGCTTGAATGCGAGGCATTTTCCATCCCACAAGCGAAACATATCATCTGGCTGCACAATGGTCGCGAAATTAACACCAGCCACGAGACCGACTACAACATTGTCGAGAGCCTGCAGCCGGACGGTGTTAAGTCGACGTTAATCATCTACAATAGCCAACGGCAGCACTTTGGTGGCTACAATTGCACCGTTATAAACGAGTACGGGATTGACTTTGTGGAAATTGATTTCGTTTCGAAAGGTAACATATTCCAGCATTCTACCATTCTATCTTATATTCCATATAGGCAAGAAGTTGAAAGAAACCATTGTATAAAAAAAGAGCGGTTAACTGATTTTTCTCTTAATCGTAAGCATAAACAAAACGAGCACCATATTTTCCATACTAGCAAAATATTCATTTTGATGTTTCCGCGTGCTGTAGGGTTTTATAACCAAAAGGTTGAATGACAAAAAAGACGAATGGACAAAAGGTCGAATAGACAAAAAGTTCGAATAGACAAAAAGTTCGAATAGACAAAAGGTCGAATGTACACAATTTATTTATATGGGCCCATGCATTAATTATGTCACGCTAAATCGAGCAAAAAATTACCCCCTCCCCCTATCGTGACGTTTTTCCTATACCTAATGCAATTAATTAATTTAGCTTTATTTAGGAGGCTTTCAGCCTTAGGCTGGTTCGCCTCCAAAATATACCTAATGCATTGCTTGTCACAAAATCTTAAACCCACCCCTCCTCCCCCTTTAGAGCGTGACATAATATATGCATCAACCCTTATTGAAATATCAGTGACATCCTGGGAGCAAATTTCCTCTAATTTCAGCAAATTCCATGGAAGCTATTTCGATTAAGAGAGAAATCAGTAAAGAAAGCATGTTAAATATACATTATTTCCGGAAAAAATCTAAATATAACTTACCGGGAAATGAACACAATGAACAACTATCATTAAATTAAAATAAATTTCGAATGGATACTGATGAAAACTTTTTAGGAGGGTTGTAAAGAGCAGTCAGACAAAACTTCCGGAAAAAGTTAGAAGAAACTTCCAGAGAAAACTGACAGACTCCTAACATCCAAGACGTTGAAATTTCCAGCCAAGTCGGAAGAAAATTTCAGCAGAAGTCGGTAGACATTTTCGGGGCATGTCAGCAGGACCTCTGGGGGAGTTTGGAAGAAGCTTTCATGATAAATCGATATAATTGGCCAACGTCAGTCAGAAGAAATTTCTAGACTTGAAAAACCGGAATTAACTTCCGGGAGAAGTTGCAGGACCTTTCCGGTGGAAGTCGTTAAAAACATCGTAATAAAACTGGAACAAGCTTTCATGGAAAGATAGAAGACAGTTGACGCAAACATTACAAGATAAAGAATAAATTTCCTTAAGAACCTTAAGATTCTTTTTGGGGAATAGTAAAAATAAACTATCAGGATAAATTGGTAGAATCTTCCAGAGAAAGTTAAAAAAACCTTCGAGTGATGTCTGAAGAATCTTTCAATGGAAATCAGCAGAAACTTTCGGAAGAACTTTGAAGAAACTCCTGCAGAAAGTCAGAAAAAATGAAGAAATTTGGGGAAAACAATCTGGAGATCAGATTACTACTGGATTAAAATTTTTAAATAAATTTGTAAATTTATTAAATACTTCAGGGAATTTAGTTGTACAGAAGCTCATACTTGATCTTCCTTTGGCTGAAATCATCCCATGGGGTGCTTATTATAATACTAAAAATTTGAGTTTCAAAATCTCTTCTATTAAGGGGGGAAGTACAATTAGAAGGCCTAAAATGAGGCCTATCTTTGAGAGTGGATTGCGAGTAGGGAAATAAATGAATGTTAGCGATTCTTCATGTATGTTATTAAGGATTTAATGATAAGTGAAGTCCATGATCACGTCTGAAACAAAAAAAAAACAGAACATTAAATTTGAAGGTACAGCGCACAACATGAATTAATTCATATGTAAAAATAATGTTTTTTTTTCACAAAAAAATTTGAAGTTGAAAAAAAAATTAGAAAACCCTATTTTTTTCGACTTTGTTTATAAAAAAAACATGTTATAACAAACAAATCTAAAAAATCTTTCTATTCGTGTTGTGGTGAATTAAATTATGAACATAAAACAGAAAACCGGAATCGATTTGAATGAAAACTCTGACCTGTACATTGCACGGCGATTTTGAAAACACTACTTTTCAGTAGAAGCATTTAAAGTTCAACTTTGACATGTTCAGCCATTTGACATGCACTCACTGAATTGCGTATAACTTTTTAAATAAATTCCGGACGGCTTTATGCTTTTAAAGGCTCATTCCCAGATACATATAGAGTAAATTAAGCCAACAAAATTTTTTTCGAAAAAAAAAATTCTAATTGTACTTCCCCCCTTAAAAGAAGAAAAAAATCCCTGCATTTCGATACATCTACACAAAATTGTCATCAGTGCAAAGGCTGTTCTCCATTTTGAATAAAAAGACAATTGTATATTTACCTCAAGGGTCTGCAGTGGAGGGTGATTTGAACTGCGCCAGTGATATTTTTTTTTTAATATCGACTATCTTCGATTTGTATGAAACTTTGCGCAATTGTTTGTTATAGGCAATAATTCACATGTTTTTCTTAAATTCGGCCATTTTGGATTTGAAAATTTTTCAAAATGTCATCCTTGAAATTTTTCAAAATATTGTTGCACGGAAACGGCATTTCTGATGAAGATGATGTCTGAGACAAAGTTGTAGAGAAAAGTTATTTCATTCTAAAAAAATATCAAATTTATCTTTTTATTTTTTTAAAGTAAACATTCGAAAAACATGTTTAAACTCAAAAAAATTAAAATGTCATTTTTAAGAAAGCTTATGAGAAATTAAAACTTATGAAATGTTCAAAACAATGGACACTTAAAAACTGACAAAAACCATTGAACTAGAACTTGTGGTAAAATTTTAGAACTTTTTGTCAGAACTGAAAATTAATTAAAAAGCCTCAAAAAGTTTTTGCAAAAAGTACTTGTTCTACGATTTTTTGTGAGTGTCCATAATTTGAAACATTTCATAGGATTGAATCTCTCAGAGCTTTTTTTTAATAAAATTTAAAAATCGAACAAGGACATTTTGAGATAGTTAAGTTCTAAACATTTCTTTTGAATTTTTACTTGAAATAACTACAAACTTTTTTTATTTTATTTTTCCAAGAAAAACATATTTCTCCACAGCTTTGTCCCAGACGACATCTGATCAGAAATGCCGTTTCCATGCTATATTTTTTTTTAAATAGTTCATAGACACAATTTGAATCATTGCCCATAACAATTATGCAAAGTTTCATGCAAATCGGAGTAGGTCGAGTTTTTCCGAATTATCATTTGGCGTGGACATGCTCTATACTTAATGATTGTCTTAATCCTTGAATATTATTCGGTCTCAGTGCAGAAGAGTTGCTGGCTTTTCTCCACCAAAAATTGATCCAACATTGACCCGATATATACCCAACATTGTATCGACATCAACCCGACATTGGGATGGCATTGAACTTCCTTAAATTTGCGTGTCATTGATCCGAAATCGGGTCAAAATGTCTGTTTAGGTTTTTTTTTGGCTTTCTTCCATACTCCACTGACGTATATCAATTGATAGTGAGTGACTCAATTGACAGTGACGATGAAGTTCATTTGAGAAAGTGGCTATTCTAATAAAACAAATGTTATGAAAGTACTTGAATTTAAATTGTAACAATAAGCGTTTAAGTAAAATTGTAAAACAGTCTACACTGATTGACGACAAATAAATAAATAAATAATGAGAATATTCGTTGCGCAGCTATTGAAAGGTTGTATTGGTTCATCATCAATCGAATGATATGAAATTAAGCAGCGCTGCATAAAGACAGAAACGTGCAAAAAATGGTCGACAAAAAATCGTTTCTTTCAGTCAAAATTCATATCACAAAAAAAAAATTATTTTTCTTTTGGTAGTTCAATTCATATATTTAAAGGAAAAAATGTTCGTGTATTCTTTTGGTTTGCCAAATCCGAACTGCCGTGCCTTCCGCTTAACCCCTTCCATTAAATTTCGCCAGTTAGATTTAAACTGCTGCTCGTTTTCCATGGATTTATAAGTTTTTTTGATATTCAGTTTGATCAAGGCCCAATACCGCTCGATAGGGCGAAGTTCTGGGCTGTTGGGAGGGTTGTGGTCTTTGGCTACCAAAACCACGTTGTTCGCATCGTACCACTCGATTGCCTTTTTCCCATAGTGGCAGCTCGCCAAGTCTGGCCAGAACAGCACAGGTCTATTGTGTTGATTTAGGAATGGTAGCAGCCGCTTTCCCAGGCACTCCTGGACGTAGATCTCTTGATTGATGGTTCCCGTAGTAATGAAAATGCCGCTTTTTATACCACAAGTGCATATGGCCTGCCAAATGAGATACGTTTTCGCGAACTTCGATAGTTTGATGGTTTTGAAAATTTCAGCCACCTTCCCTTTTCCTGATGCGGTATAAAACTCCTTTCCCGGAAGCTGCTTGATATCCGCATTCACATAAGTTTCGTCGTCCATGACGACACAGTCGAACTTTGTGAACAGATTCGTATACAGCTTTCGGGACTGCTGCTTAGCCGACGTGTTTTGTTTGTAATCTCGGTTCGCCACCTTCACCTTCTTAAACATGGACAACCTGGCTCGTTTCTAGGCCCGCTGCACAATAGTATGGGAGACATTGAGCTTGCCAGCGACGTCACGGATGGAGAGGTTAGGATTCCGCTTATATTTCACCGTCACCTTCTTCGTTGTCGCTGCCACGTCTAGGTTACGATTACCGCCACTTTCAGGCTTCCTGGTGGTCGACAGACGCTCCCCGAACACTTTTAAAACGTTTGTCACGGTCAATTTGGCCACATCCAGCAATGTTGCCAACTTGGCGTGTGAGAACGTTGGTTTATCTAGCTGCGCGAGCAGAATTTTGACGAGCTGCTCCTCTTGCTTGGACGTCATTTTGAAAACTGGAGACCACACGGTGAAAACTTATCATAGCAACCATTGTATATACACTCAACTTCCAAATGCAGCATTTCAGGTTTTTTGTATGCATTTTTAACAGAAATACACCAATTTGAAGATGACCAATTTTTGCGCTCCCCAGACTTTATTACCATAAATCATTTATGATTGAAAAACTCATGTAGTTGTAGGTTTCTTAAAATCAGTACAGTACCGTAGTGAGAGGGAGGCCCCAGCCATGTG